ACATATGAGGGCCAGTGACACTGCCCTCTACAGCTAAGATGCTGAACAACAGCTCAACCTGGAGCTGGGCTGCCATGGGTCGCTGGCGACGGCGTGGGCTGCAGTCCCCTGCTGCAGTGGGCTGCCATAAGCTACCGTGTGTAGCCGGCAGCCAGCGTGAGCAGCCAACAGCTGCCGAGAGCTGCCGTCCAGAAGCCGGCGACTGATTTGCCTTGCCTGGGAAGAGTACAATGATGGTGCCAGCTTGGGCCAGTGAAGCACCATCCTCCACAACTAGACTGAAGAACAAAACAACAGCAACTTGTCTGTTCCCCTTCCCCTGATAGCCCAATAAAATCTTAAAAAAAAAAAAAGTGATCACCATAAGTCCAGCAACCATCTGACACCATACCATGCCATCACAATATTATTGACTATATTCCCTATGCTGTGTGTTACATCCCCATAGCTTATTTGTTTTGTTTATTTTTTAAATTATTGTTAATTTTCTTAGAGCATTCTTTTTGGTTTTTTTGAAATTTTATTGGGGAACAGTGTGTTTTTCCAGGAGCCATCTGCTTCAACTCAAGTAGTTGTCTTCAATCTAGTTGTGGAGGGCTCCGCTCCTTGGCCCATGTGGGGATCAAACCGGCAACCTTGGTGTTATGAGCCTGCGCTCTAACCAGCTGAGCTAATCGGCCGCCCTTATTTGTTTTATACGGGGAAATTTTAACCTCTTATTCCCCTTCACCTTTTTAGCCCCTTTTTAAAAATTTTTCAATTACAGTTGACATTCAATATTATTTTATATTGATTTATTAAATATTAAAATAATTTCAAGGGCCGGCCGAGTGGCTCAGTTGGTTAAGAGCTTGCTCAAGAGTGTGAGCTCTAAGGAACAGCGGTTCGATGCCTGGCCCGAGCTGAGCTGCTGCTGAGCTGCCAACAGGTGGCAGGATGGCTCAGCTAAAAACATAAATAAAAATTTCAAGATACTCTTCATAATTGGAAATTCCAAATAATTGCTGACTTAAGTTTTTTTTCTTAGTTTGTACAGAGGTGTGCTGTGGGATATGGGCGGGGGCAACCCTGCTCTCTTTCTTTTCCTCCCTCCAGTTTCTAACTGTAGCCTTCAGAGCAAATCTGCTCAAACATAAGTCAGATCGTTTCATCCCAATCACAGCCCTCCAGTGGCTTCCCATTTTTCTCAGAGTGAAAGCCATAGTCTTTACAGTGGTCCAGAAGGCCCTGCAGTACCTACCTCATGGAGCTCTGCTCCAGCCACATGGGCCTCCTGCTGTTTCTCAGATATGTCAAGTGTTCCCACCTCCAGGCCTTTACATTTGCTTTTCTTTCTACCTCAAACGTTCATCTCTCAGATATTTATATGGCTGGCTCCCTTACCTCCAAGTCTTCACTGAAATGTGATCTTCCCAGCAAGACTTTCCTGATCATCCCATTAAAATTACATCCTCTGCCCCCACATAACACACCCATACTTCCTAATTTTTCTCTATAGCACTTACACCATCTAATGTACTATATATTTTATTTACTTACTTTGTTTATTGTCTGCCTTCCCAATGAGAACACATACTAATGAGAAGAGGGATTTTTTTTCTTATACCCACTGTAGTATCTCTGGTGTTTTGAACAGTGCTGAGCATATACTTGGTACTCAATAAATTTTGTTGAATGAATGAATGAATTAGTCCTTTATGTACCAAATTTGTGCGCTGTTAGGCTCAAGATAGGTAAAAAAAATGTAGATACATGGATTCCTCCCTCCCACTCCACTATGTCCCCCACCCCCCAAAAAGGTGAGCGAAGGCCAGAGCAGGAAGCAATGCAGGCATGAGAGTCTGAAGTTGTCCTTTGGGTCAGGCTTATATAGAGCCTTTAACCAATTGGGAAACTAAACTTTGGGTGATTAGTGAGGGAGCTGAACTTTGTAGCTTTTCAGATTTAGCTTTTCAGGATTCCTCCAATTTAAGATCAATAAAATATGATCTGTTAGCAGAAATTTATAATAAACAACAGATTTAGACACACCCCTCCCCCCCACACAAAGATTTCTGATACTAGAACTATTAGTTAACAGAGTATCAAATATATGAAAAAGTAACAGCTAGGAGTTTCCCAGAACAGATGAAAGATAAGAATCCATCCATAAAGGAAACAGAGTATACCTAAGCAGAATAAATAAAAAGAAATCCACACCTAGATCAACCGTCAAAACCATAGAATATCAAAGAAAACAGATCTTAGAATCAGCCAGAGGAAAAATGACAGCATCTACGAAGAAAAAACAAATTAGCAATGGAAGGTCAAAGACAAAATAATACCTTTAAATTGGTGAGAGAAATTAACTATTTATATAGAATGATGTATCTGGAGAAGCTGTCTTTCAAGAATAAAGGTGAAATACCTTTTTCAGATTATCAAAACAAATAGACCTTCACTGAAGGAATTTCTGTAGAAATACTTTAGCAGAAGATAAATGCATAAAAACCAATCCTAAAGAGAGAACTTAAAAGGATTGGTGAACCAAAAAATTCCAAGTAAACATTTTATGTATGTAATAATAATGAGTCTAAAATGGGAAGTTAACAAAAAGTGTATCAACGAAGAAAAAAACAGATTGAATGCATACTATCAGATAAGTGTATGGCTGTCTGAAAAAAAAAATAAGGTAGATCCCAACTTTATTCCTTACTTTGAAATGATTAATGCTTTAAATGAAAAGGTGAAACTATAAAATCCTAGAAGAACACATGAGAAGTTATTTTTTAATCTTGGAGGAGGGTAGAAGTTTATAAGTGCGATGGAGAGCCAGAAGCCATAAAAGAAATGATTGCTCTATGATTACTACATTAAAAAAAAACAAAACCTGAATATATTTACCAAAAATACCACTAAGTAAAAAGATAAAAGTCAAATTGGAAAATATTTTATCACCTGTCACAAATTATTAAATTCCTCAATAAATAAATCCTAAAATCATTAAGAAAGCAGTTAACAGCCCAGTAAGAAACTGGGCATGGTACATGAAAAGAGAGTGCATAAAAAGAAATACAAATGATTTTGAAACGTGTAAAAAGACACATTATTCATAATAAGAGAAATGCAAATTAAAACTGCAATGCAAAATTGTTCACCGAATACATTGGTAAAAATTTAAATGTTTGATAGGATAACGTGTTGGAGAATTGAGGAAGGGAGACACTTTGATACATAGTTCATGAGAATGTAAATTGCTATACTTAAGGAAGGCAATTTGGCAATATTAGTTTATAATTTAGTTTGACCCAAAAATTCCACTCCTAGAAACTAATCTGGATGCAAAGATTTTATTATTGTTTTATTTTTTGTCTTAAATATATGTTGTTTATAATAGCAGAAGATTTTAAGAAACCCAAATACTCGTTAGTAGGGGACTGATTTTAATAATTATGCAATATTCATACAGTGGAATACTGTGTAATCATTAAAAAGAATGAGGCAACTCTATATATAAATGTAGAAGCATCTCCATGATATTATTATACTAAAAAGAAAAGGTATGAAATAATGTGTATAGTATGCTATCATTTGTGCAAAAAAAGAGAAAATTTATGTATTCATGCATTTGCCTACGTATAGGTAGTATATCTCTGCAAGGGTAATAAGGAACTAGTCATGTTTGTTTGTCCAAAGAAAGGGGATCTGGCTTTCTATGGGAAACTTAATTTCCACTTGGACTGTTTGAATTTTTTAGTACTTATTCAATAAAAAGTAATTGGAAATGGTCCCTTGTCTATCCAATACTGCCTCACCCAAAAAAGTGGTTCATATACTCCTCCCCCCATACTTTATATGTGTTGTTAAAATTATGGTGACCCCATACTTTTAACAGACATTCACACAAGCAAGGGGCTTAGTATACCTATCACCCTGTTTGTTTTATCTGTAGAATCCCACCTACTCCCCCTCTCAATTATTTTAAAGCCAACCCCAAATATAATTTTATTTAATCCACTTAGAGCCCATGTATTTTTAATAAAACTTCACTCTGTACATTCATCATAAATGAGCAAGCAAAGCCTAATTCCCAGTGTATATGTAAGTATTTTGTACCAATGGAAGGAAATACTTTGATTTTTACTACTGTCTTGTAAGCCATTGTAAAAGCAAGTTTAGTACCTACGTAATTTCCATGTTTCAAATTTCATTTGATTTATATTTACAAAAATATTTGTAAATGTAATGTGTTAGCAATAGCATTGTCTACTGTTTGCAGAGATAGAAGTTTGAATGGGAATTGGGAGATACAGAGGTACCCTGGAGGAAATGTTAAGAGAGGAGGCTGAAAAAGTAACAGGGGCCAGATTCTGAAGGACTTGTAAGCCATACGTATGGTTCGAAGGTCATTGAGAAGCTGTTGAAGAATTTTAAACAGCAGTGACATGGCCAAATTTGTGTCTTAGTAAAAATCACTTTAAATGTTACGTGGAGAATTGTTCAGAGTAGGGCAAGATAGGAAGTGTAGAAGCCAGCCAGAGGCTGTTTGAGAACTTACAGAGACGGGATGGTGGCAGGGAAGAAGGAAGAAGTGGATAGATAGCTACAGAGGGTGTGTAGGCGATGGGATGGAATCCTAATTGACCCGTTGACTGGAGAGGGTGGAAGAGGGAGAGAACAGTGAATGACCCCACATTTCTGATCCCAACCACCTGGTTGGTTACAGGGACCTTCTGGTTGCTGTATTTAGAATCAGCTGAATGGAAAGATGGGCAAAACCAGAGACCAGTTTCGTGTATATTGCAATAGCTAGGTGAGAGGTGACCACTTGAACCAGGGACTAGGGGTGGGTCCTGTGGTTTACATTTGGAGGTAGAGCTATAGGATTTGTTAAATGATTGTGTTTGAAGTGTGGGAAAAAGTTAGGAATCAAGGATTACCTCAAGGTTTTGGGGACTGAGCAACTGGCAGGATGGAGATTTTATCTACTGGGGGAGACTGCAGGAAGAGCAAGTATAGGTGAGGAGAGAGAATCAGTTCAGTTGTGCATAATTCTATTCGAGATATCTGTTAAACAGTTAAGTGGAACTGTTTATTAAGCAGTTGTACATATGTGTCTGAAGATCAAGGGTGCAATTTGGGCTGGTGACACAAACATACTAATGTTTTCACAGCCAAGCCTACTATGCCAGCAAAGTAGCTAATGAGACCTTAATACCATTTCCTTATTTTGGATATTAATAAATGCAGGATGCAACGGATAGAGAGTGATTAAAAATTATCAATTTGGATCGTAAAGCTTAGAACTAAGTAGGCATCACATAATCTTTGTATTTCTTTTAAAGTTTCTCAACTATATTTATAGACCTTAACACGCAACATTCTTTTAAAAACAATTAGAAAAATTACATAAAGCTCTACAAGTCAAGCTTGACTCTTCAAAATTGAAATAAATATTAACAATTGTGAGTTTTTAAAAATATTTCTATATCAGCATATTCAACAATGACTAAACTGTCTAGCTGTCTTGGTGATACCACATGACAATTAAACGATTTCATTCCCTTTTTAGGAGGATGCCCAGGAAGAATTTGGCTGGAAATTAGTTCATGGTGATATCTTCCGTCCTCCAAGGAAAGGGATGCTGCTATCAGTCTTTCTAGGATCGGGGACACAGATTTTAATTATGACTTTTGTGACTCTGTGTAAGTGTCAAGTGAAAATTAAGTAGAAGATGCTTTTTCTAAATAAGTATTTGAAAACCAGTTTTCCTAAGTGAGGTAACTAGGCTAGGTTGTCTCTAAGAGTCCTTTTGGCATTCATATCTGTGTGCTCTGGCTGTGTGTGACTTGGGCGGGATTAGCTGTGCCCAAAAGCTGACTCTTCATGTCTCTCTTCAGCTGTGTAGAGACCTAGCCTTTGTTATGACAGCACTGGAGCTGGAGATGACTAGGTCCTGAAAGACCACCTGGGTCTGGGTGGCCTGGAACCAGGGTCACGCATGGTGACCATCCCATCCGACTGAAAGCAGGATGATTAAGATCCCACTGAGAACTGAGAGACACAAGAAAGGAAAGAAGGAGCGGCGGGGAAGCTTTTTGTACACCTTTCCCATCTCGGAAGGATCTAGGAAGCAAGAGCTCTTTCTTTTCTCTGTGTTTAGGAAAGATCTTACTATGCAAAAAATATTGGGTTGTCAGAAAAGTCATGACGTGTTTTTTCTGTTTTTTGTTGCAAAAATGCGTTAATGACTTTTCTGATAACCCAATATCTTCTCCTTGTGCCACCTGAAATCTTCAGGAATTTTACCTAAATTTTTTCAATTAGGACAATCTTTCCTTTTTTAAAATAGACCACCTTTTAGAGGCATTGATTGGCCACAGGAGTGGCTCTGAGACTGCTGCCTGGGGCTACGATATTTCCATGGTCTTCCAGCTTTCCTAGTTGTAAGAGCTACAATTTAAAAAGTGTTTATGAATAGAATTTTCTAAATTTTGCATTTTCCTTATGTTTCCTTTACTGATGAACAGTAGCAAATGAATATTACTAGAAGAATTCAGAAACCACTGACCTTAAAACTCTTAGTGAACATTTATCCTTAATGTTTGATGCATGTTAAATGTGTAATACTAAAGTCATTTTCTGTTAGTAAAATTGTTCCAAATTTTTATGATGGAATTAACTACATAAATGCTTTACAAAGCTTTTGTAAATGCTTTCACAAAGAGGATTATTATTTTGAAATGTTTTGACACCTGAGTAAGCATGTGAATTACTGATTTACACCAGGCTTAGTTTGAAGACTAATTTGAAGATTAACTAGAATATATATCCTTACGTATTATACTTAGCTAAGGAGATGCAGCTGTGATGGGAGGGCTCCAGTTTGTAAGTATATTATACTCAAGAGGGTAGGGCGGGAGAAGTCATCGTGAAACAGACCTTGACGTAGCCAGAGGATAGATGGCATAGTAGACAGCCCGCGTGGAGTTAGAGAAGAATGGATGCTTGAGGATAAAATTCTGCTTTAAAGTTTTATCCAGAGCTGCCTTCTGCCACCATCTGGCCTTTGTTGGGGTCCACTGGGAAGTGAACTTACCAGAAAGGAAAGTTCCGGAGAGCCTAGGATAGGAAATGATGAGGTCATTTCCCTTAAACATTTGAATGTGAACTTGCTGCTTCAGAGCAGTCCATCTCAGCCCTGTGGGGAGTGGAGAGGGTGTGTCTGAGCTGAGATGCTGATTGGGCTTTAAAGTAACCCGATCACATTCCTGCTTCCCTGCGACTTATGAGTTTCCCCTCTTGCCCTTCAGCTGGTGCTGGTGGGAAGCTGTGCGCGGGCGGGTGCTTGGTTATGGACACCTCGGGAAACACCAGGAACTTCCTACTCCCAGAATTTCTTTCTGAGCAAATCATAACTTCCGAGTCCCAGCTTAAAACTAGAAGTCTCTAGAAATAGCATTTTCTTTCTTAGTAGTAGGAAGAGTTATATGGGGAAGAACAAATAAAACTAACCAACTGAATAAGGGTAGGAGCCAGAATTTCCCCAAGTCATTGACCAAGTCTTTCAGTAACTTGTGTTCAAAAAGCTGATGGTACTGTGAAATCCTTTCCCCCTCTTTTATTCTTCAATGAGATTGTCTTACCTCTTACATTTGAACGTTTTAAGGTTTTTGTTTTTCACCCTAGATGACTCAGTATTGTTTTTAAAAGGAACAAAAAGTGAGACTATTTCTGTGGGCATATTTTTATATTGACGTGAATTTTAAAAGCTGTATTTCAATCTTAGAAGAGCTGAAAGCATTCATGAGCATCCAGTCAGCCTCTTCTGATAAACAGGAAAGGTGGGGTAGTATGGACCCCAACAAGAAACCTCTAAAGTAGAGCTTGCGTATATGTACAATCCTATTGATGGCAGTACCTGGAAATGTTGCTAAGATTCAGTGTGGCTGCATGGTAGGATAGCGTATTTTCATGAAGTTGTATTTAGTTTAGCATTTTAAAAATGACAGGGGTCTTATATCACTTCACAGCAAAGGAAACAGTAATGAAATCTGTAACTTTAAATTAATTATTTTCTAGTTTTTGCTTGCCTGGGATTTTTGTCACCTGCCAACCGAGGAGCACTGATGACTTGCGCCGTGGTCTTATGGGTGCTGTTGGGCACGCCTGCAGGCTATGTCGCTGCCAGGTTCTACAAGTGTGAGTAAAAGCCACCCTGACTGGTGTCAGAACAGGAATCTAATCGCTACCTCGGTGCATCTGCTGAGCCTTTGTGTCTGGCTGTTTATGCTCTTTAAATACTATATGTTATACGTGTATATCCTTAGAAAAAAAGAAGCTTGTGAAGTGGATGACTGTCCCTAGATTTATTTGTTCAAAAATACTCATACAGTGAGATAAGCAAATTTAGGTACTACTTATCCACCATACCCTTTCTCCATTTATTTTTAATTTTTACTTAAGTTCAGCTGACCAACTTAGATTTGCTATGTTTGTCGAAACATGTATAGACTCATAAAGGAAGAAAGTATACAAATGAGTATCATCATTTTATTCATTAAAATAAGTAATGCATACAGGAATACCTTTCTTACATAAGAGAGGTCATACTTAGAATTGTATCAATTTAATATTTATTAAAATGAACAGTATGTACTTCAAGTAAACTGAGATCTCATTATTTTAAAGAGCTCTGAAGTAAGTTACTTTTGTAGTACAATTAGTTTTCCAAAAATATAGTTCAGTGAAAAAAAGGATCGGGTGCCACAGAGTAAGGATGGGATATGACTATATGACTTAGAAGACAGGTTTGCTAGGGTCAGGTGAATGCTAGACTTTACCTGCTTTAGGAGTCCTGAAATCCACTGAGATGGTCGTACAGGTAATCTGTGAAGTAAAGCGCCAAGGAGATGGGAAGAGCTAGGGTTGATATGAATAAGGCTTGAGCTAAAATTCAAGCACCAAGTAGAAATAATAGTGAGACAGTTTTCTCCTGAGTATGTGGAGTCCATTATATGTGTGTGTGTGTGTGTGTATAAGTGTGTTTAATTTCTGTGAATTTCATCAAGTTCTGTTTGTTTTTTTTAAGGATTAGAGTGGTCATATGTATTTTAACATGTGTGAATTAGTTGGGCCCCTGTCTCCCTCTTTTTTACTGTTTCAGCTATGCCGGCATTCTTTCAGTTCTTCAGTCAGTTGTGGACCTTCACACATGCCTAAGCACCTTCCCACATGCTATTCCCTCTGCTTGAAGTTCCAGTCCATACTCCCTCACCACAGACAAATCCCCCCCTTAACGCCTCTCCATTTTTCACATCTCCCAGCTGCAAATTAAGTAGCATATTAATCAGGCAGAACATTCTGAGAGGTGCTATTACATGGCACCAGTCATGAAATACTTCATTATATAGAATCGTTTCTAATGTTTCAAAAAATATTATTTGAATTTTGATTGGCGTTGTATTAAACCCCAAATTTATAATTTCACAATAGTCTCTTTATCAATAATGCCATGACTTCAAATCATGTATATGATTGTCATTTTCTTTTAGGGCAAGTGGTACTTAAACTTGCTTATAAACTATGTTAAAACTTTTTTTTTTTTTTAATTGGGGAATTAGGGGGATAGGACAGTGCTGGGGAATTGGGGGAAGGGGAACAGACAAGTTGCTGTTGTTTTGTTCTTCAATCTAGTTGTGGAGGATGTCGCTTCACTGGCCCAAGTTGGCACCATCATCGCGCTCTTCTCTGGCGAGGCAGATCAGTCGCCGGCTTCTGGACGGCCGCTCACTGCGGCTGCTGGCCGCTCACGCTGGCTGCTGGCTACACAAGGTAGCCCATGGCAACCCACTGCCACAGGGGCTGCAGCCTACGCCGTCGCCGGCGACTCCCGGCAGCCCAGCTCCAGGTTGAGCTGTTGTTCAGCATCTTAGCTGTAGAGGGCAGTGTCACTGGCCCTCATATGTGGGATCCGAACCGGGGCCCTCTGGTATCCCAAGCGAGTTCTTAACCATCGCGCCACTCGGCCGGCCCTAAAACTTTTTTAAAACAAGCAAAGTTCTTCTCAGATCTCAGCCAGTTCCATCTCCAACTTTTAAACTGGGAGCAGAGGAGTGCTTTGATTTTTTTTTTTTTTTTTACTCTATGTACTTAAGTTTTCAATTTTTTTTAAAGGGGGAAAAATTAGAGAGGGGAGGAGCAAAGGAGAATAAAATGTTCATAAGCAAATTTGCACAGTCAAATGGCCACAACCCTTCTACGCTTCTTGGATACCTGATCTGACACACTGATTTCCCCACCCCCACCCATGCCCTACCAGAAACTATTGGGTTGTTGGAAAAGTCATGACGCATTTTTGCAAAGAAAAACAGAAAAAATACATCATGACTTTTCTGACAACCCAATATAATGCTAGAGGAATCTTTACGATTCAGACTTACTATGGAAATATAAATGTGTTGCATGTCAGGCTTTAGAGTCCTGGCTTTATAACAAATCCTGAAACTGACCTCAGATAAATGAGAATCTCCAGGGCGCCCTTTCTCTACCCAGTCTAGCCCCATTGAATGCAGCTGGCTTAGAATTTAAGGGTTTGTTTTGTTTTGAAGTTTAAAAAAAAAAAAAAAGAAAGAAAAACTGGTCTGGATGACTTTCTTTTGATACTGCATTTATTTTATGCTGAAGCAAAAATCTTTAGAGTAGGACTTACCCAGGGCAGTCCTGTAATGTGCATCTCTGATTTGGATCACTTGGTTCGGTAATATCATATCATTTGCTAGTGTCATTTTCTGTGAATAGGCGCCCAGTGCTATCTGACAGTTTCTGCAGTACCAGACTTGGAGTATTGCTTTGAAGAAAAGTCTATGTTTTGGCATTTTTGTTTTCTTCTACAGCCTTTGGAGGTGAGAAGTGGAAAACAAACGTTTTATTGACATCATTTCTTTGTCCTGGGTAAGTGAATTTTTCAATAATACCTTTCTTAACGTAGTCAATTTTTGGTTCTTGAATTTTTAATCCCTTACGTCTTTAATCTTCTCTGTCTCTAAACCATGTACTCAAGAAAATGAACTGAGTTTTTTAAAAGGGGTAAAATGAATATTTAACAAACATTTATAGAATGACTAACTACTACATGCCTTATCAGAAAAAAGTACCTCTAGATATGAGAAATTTTTATATTCTTTTTTAAAAAGTGTAAACCTTAGTCTGTAGAAGTTAGTCTGGCATGTTGTCATGTATGGTGCGTTTTAAAGCTTTGGACATGATTATAGAAAGGAATCCTCACCTGAGATCATTCAGGCAAGGATACATTTCTGATTTTTATTGGAAGCATTGCTACTTTATAATTTATTCCATTAAGTAGAGTAACACATACTAAAATAATTTTAAAACCCACCACATTAAAAAACAAAACAACTGTGCCCCTTTGGAGGATAGCTTCTGATATCAAGTATCTGATGTACATTTAGGCCTAGAAGCAGAACCCACTTTCTCCCAACTCCCCAGACTCTCGTCATCTGGTGGACAAGAACTAGCCTCTGAACAGCCAGCAGCAATAAAGCAAGCCAAAGGTTAAATCTAGAAGGCAAGATTGTTCCATTTGCAGACCAGAAATAGAAGAGTTATAGTAGCCAACATTTTAATACACATTTGGGATAAATATTCTCAGATTTTCACCTCCATTGAGGAGTAACATGCTTCTCAACTATTCATGTTCTATTTAAATTTTTATGCTTTTCTTAAGCTGTATCTTTTGTCCTCTTTCCTTCTGGTGTCAACTCAGGAAGTGTCCCTCCTTACCAAGACTGTCAGCTGGTGATTTCCTTCAGAATCTTGCCTTTCAAACACCCTTCCCTCCCTCTCTCCCCCATTTCTGACATCTTCCATTTTTCCCTTTCTCTGTGTTCTGTTCATGTGTTTCATCTCTTATTCCTACAAATATGCTTAGGTCTCTCAAATCCTAAAAACAGCTTCTCATAAGCATCTTCTGTCTACTATCATATTATTTCTTTTCCATTTCCAACAAAATACATACCTAGAAAAAATAGTCTATACTCCCTTAACTCTCATTTTCTCAACATTCATTTGCAGGGTAAACCCACATCATCTGTCTTTTTGCTCCTGTCACTTTAGTGAACTTCTCTAAGGTTACTAGTGATATTATCATTTTCAAACCTAGACACCTTTTTCTCTGTCTTTATTCTGCCTCTCTACATCGTGTAACATTGGGATACCTTCTCCTTGAAACTCCTTCCCTTTTTGGCTTCATAGAAATTTTCCTATGCCTGTTCTTTTACGTCTCTGAACAACCCTTCTCTAATTTATCTGCATCTCACCTTTAAAAGTAGGTGTGCACCAGTAGATGGTGAGGTAAGTAGAGAGAGAGAAAAAGAGAGCACACACTCCAAGAATTCAGGTTCCCGGTGCAAGAGGAATTGGTGTTCACCTAGGAATGAAGGATCATTTAATGTGAAATTGATTCATATAATCTTATGTAAATAAACACCTACATATAATTATTACACTATACACAACAATGGCATTTGATAATATTAAACATTGTTTCCAAGTTTAAAAAGAATTTAATGGCGAGAGAAATACTTTCTTATATTAATAAAAATCTCATCACTAATTCAAAACCAACATCATTTAGTGATGAAACACTAGCGATATTTTCATTAAATCACTTTCATTAAATGGCTTTAATAAGTTCTAGTAACAGTAAGACATGAAACAAGAGTAATACATTTCAGAAAGGTGGAGATCATATTTATTGGTGACATAGTTTGTGTACAGAGAACATCAACAAATTTCAGCTGTATAAAACTTGTAGAATTCATAAGAGTTTAGCAAAATGGCTAGATGTCAGCTAATATTCCAAGAGCATGAATACCACATAGCAAATTAAATGTTTTAATGCTTGTGGTGGTTTTGTGGGAAGAGAACTCTATTCACAGGAGTATTAGCAACAGAAAACCTTCACAATACCTGAATTAACTTCTTAAAATAGGCACGATCCACATGACATGTCTGCAATGCTTATTAACTATTAAGAGATACAAATTCACCATGTTACTTGATGACAAGGCCAAGTATTGTGAAGGAGTTTGGAGATGTCCCATGGCTGCCAGGACAGGGAACACAGAAACAGACCATGTGTATATGGAAGCATGCTGGATGTGGCATCACAAATCAGAGGAACTGTTAAATGGTGCTGGGACAATTGATTATCTATATGAAGGGAGAAAAATTCTGTTCTTACCTCACACACATGAAATCAATTGTAGATGGATTAAAATCGAAATGTTACAGGCCTAACAATTAGATGAAAATATAGATGAGTATCTTCATGATCCCTGGTTAGGGAAGGCTTTCTTCACTTAAACAGGTCACCCAAAAGATAAATGAAAACATTGATGACCTTGATAATATTAAAAACTGTGTGGGGCTATACAGAAGTGATCGTAGTGTGATTTATAGCCATGTTTTTCAAAATGTACTTATAGAAGAAAGACTGAAAGGAAATTAAATACACATAATTCAGATGTTTGGGTTCATAAAAAGCCATAAACTGGGAGAACAAGATATTTAACAAGTAGTTAGTTTCTGGAGTGTATAATTAAACTACATATGTGACTTGGCAAAAGCCGTGCAACCCAAATGCAAAATGAGCAGTGGTTGTAATCAGCAAGTCACAGAAGGTAAAACCTAAAAAGCCAACAAACAGGATGTTCAGCCGCAGTTGTCAATAGGAAATGCAAATTAAAACAACAAATTTGACAACCCCAAGTGTGATGAAAATATGTCAAGAGTTAACTTTCATAAGCTGCTAGTAGGAGTTTAAGTCAGGCAAAACCAATCGGAAGAGCAATTTGGCAATTTCTACTGAAGTTTTAAATTCACATAACTCCATGACAGTAATTCTACTTTCTTTTTATGTAACACAGAAATTGTAATACTAATTACATATGATTGCTACTGTATCATTTTGCTTCTAACTCAAGTTTTATCTAAAAGCCTATTGTGTCTTTCAGGATTGTATTTGCTGACTTCTTTATAATGAATCTGATTCTCTGGGGAGAAGGATCTTCAGCAGCTATTCCTTTTGGGACACTGGTTGCCATATTGGCCCTTTGGTTCTGCATATCTGTGCCTCTGACATTTATTGGTGCATACTTTGGTTTTAAGAAGAATGTAAGTTTATAGGTGTTAACTTATTCAAGTGAATTTCAACTGTGGAAACTAGCATATGCCACCTTGAAAAAGATACATGTCTAAAAGATAGAAACTCATCCTGCGGGATTTGGATTTCATAGAAAATTGATGACTTTGTAGTTAGATTGCATTCATTAAAATAGAAGTACGTACTTGGGAGTATGGTAGAGAGATTATAGATATAAACTTAGATTTCAAAGTTTCTAAGTAAATGGAAACTAATACAGATTAAGAGGAAATGAAAAGCTAAACTAATTAAAACTGAATTTCTGACATTAAAAATAAATTGTTTTGTTTTTATTTTAACACAAAAAACATGCATTTTTTCCTTAGCAATAAGCATTTCTAGTCTACATTACTTAACTAAGTAAACCAAGCGTGTGGGGAAGTGAAGGTATAAAAAAAGGGACTAGAAAATAAGAATAGCAATTTTTAAAATATGTAGCTTTGGAATAAATTTTATCTGCTTACCTACTAGTATTTGATTTTAAAGAAGATTATAGTCAGGGTTCAGTCCCTCCCTCCAGCTTGTTTTTCTCCACCTCTGCTGCCCCCTTCTACCAACAGGCTAAGAGGAAAATGAGAATTTATTCTTCAATGTCCTTTTCTAACTCCACTTCACTATGCTTGCTGCTCTTCTCTGAAAATACTCAGTCCACAAGGTTAAAAGAAATAACTATTATAGTATATTTTGTGAGCCAGCCTAGAATGTCCTGGAAGAAACTATCATTGCTTCATAGTCTCTACTGCACCTACCATGCCAGTCTAGTAAAAGATTTTTCAGTTCTTTGGCATTTTGTTTATTATTTAAAATCTAAAGGGCATAAATAGTAAACTGTCACAGTTTAATTTTTTTTAATTGCATAGATTAAATAAGTACTTAAAATTCTAAAAATATAAAAATTGAGGAAAGATACATAATGATTCTATGCATGTAAACACATGTATCTACACGGAGGTATAATCTCAGTGAGACTACCAGGTTTTAAATTTTGAAGTATCATCACGAAAACTTTAGAAGTATTTTTTGCAAGAAAATGAATTTCTACATATGTGCCCTTTTTCTATGTTTAGGTACTTTAGATTCTAGTTGTTTTTATACTACCATACAGTGTTATGAAAGGGAGAATAATTGAGAACATCACCAATACCTTACAGTCATAATTCTTATAGCCATTCATTGTCTTCTTCATGCTCTTAAGTCTTAGTAAAATTGAGCAATTTTAATAAAGATGACATTGCCCATCTCCAAATAAAAATACATTGACAGTAACCTCAGAACCAGCTGATTTCTTACAGTAAGTATATAATTAAAAGGGAAACCCTGACTCTACCTTTTTGTGAACTGTTATTTCCCAAGCACTATATTATATCTTTTTGTGTGTTTCTTACTTGGCGTGAAGAGATTAGTCAGTGGATAACTGCTGGAAGCAGTGGTGGCTTGTTCTAGTAGACAGACTGAATATTGTACCTGATGGTATCTGGCTTATTGCTTCTAAATACAAATTTCCGTTTGATGACTAAAATAGACTTGTATTCCCATTAGTGTCAACATGGAACCTGAGAAAAAACAGGCAAATAATCTAGTACAGAGAAGAATTTTTAAAATATACATATATAATTATGAATCCTGTCTTTCTTTACTAAAGGCCATTGAACACCCAGTTCGAACCAATCAGATTCCACGTCAGATTCCTGAACAGTCATTCTACACAAAGCCGTTGCCTGGTATTATCATGGGAGGGATTTTGCCTTTTGGGTGCATCTTTATACAGCTTTTCTTCATTCTCAATAGTATTTGGTAAGCTAAGGACTAAGTCCTCTTATTTCCATTACCATTATATGTAGTACTAGCTTTCTGTTTTTGTTTATGTGGATTACTGTTTATATCTTATAAATGTAAACCATTTTCCAATAATAAGAAATTCTAAGAGCCAAAGGTTTATTTTATCTTTTCTATGTGAGAAAAATAATAGTGATAACAGCTCTTATTACTTGAGGGCTTATTAATTCTTACTTAATTCTCAGATGTCTGTCATTTTACAGAGATGAAAATGAGGCTTTGGAAATTAAGTAATTTGTCTGTGTCACACAGTTATCATGTGACAGAAAATTAATCCAAGTATCTCGAAACCTAATGTTCTTAAATAAGTAATCTGTAGTGCTTCAGAGAAGATACTCTGGGCGGTTGATAGAGGAGGGTTTTCGAGCAAGCATTTGAGGAGGGGTTGAACTAGATCATGTTCAGAGTCCTTTCTAACCCCAGATTCCTTCATTCTCTGATTTTTTTTTTTTCAAGATTTTTATTGGGGAATTGGGGGGATGGGAACAGTGCTGGGGAATTGGGGGAAGGGGAACAGACAAGTTGCTGTCGTTTTGTTCTTCAATCTAGTTGTGGAGGATGTTGCTTCACTGGCCCAAGTTGGCACCATCATTGCGCTCTTCTCTGGCGAGGCAGATCAGTCGCCGGCTTCTGGACGGCCGCTCACTGCGGCTGCTGGCCGCTCACGCTGGCTGCTGGCTACACACGGTAGCCCATGGCAACTCACTGCCACAGGGAGTGCAGCCTACGCCGTCGCCGGCGACTCATGGCAGCCCAGCTCCAGGTTGAGCTGTTGTTCAGCATCTTAGCTGTGGAGGGCAGTGTCACTGGCCCTCATATGTGGGATCCGAACCGGGGCCCACTGGCATCCCAAGCGAGTTCTTAACCATCGCGCCACTCGGCCGGCCCCATTCTCTGATTTCTTATTTGCATGGACAAACTCATAGTGGTAATTTGAGCTACTCTGTTAGAGTGTATACATTGCATTATATTATGACCGTTACTTGATCACATTGACATGTTACAGAAAGCACCAAGGTTCAAGGTAGCATAAAATCAGAACTAAATTTGAGCTTTTTAATGTTTAGGACCTCTCGCCTTCCTGTTATAATATTTTCCAAATTCATCTGATTTTATCATATATGATTAAAAAAAACAGTATATACTGAATGTAACCTCTTCTTAGTTTGGCTCTACCTTTCTGTTAATTTTTTGTCAAATTTGTCTGACTCATTTGTCCGACTCACCAGTAGACAAGTAGACTAAGCATATTTGGATAAATAAGAGTTTCCGGTTGTACCTAAGCAAGAAGGCACAGTCCACACATTGCCGTATCCCTTCCTCCTCTGCATTCGTACCATCTAAACCTATGGAAATTCGCCTTCTTAGATTAGTTGGGAGAAAAAGGAAACATTTGCAAGTCAAGAAAAATGAAAAGATTGTGTCATTTACTGTGTCAAAGAGAAAATATTTATAGTTTCATTTTGACATGTTTGATTATAGGTCACATCAGATGTATTACATGTTTGGCTTCCTATTTCTGGTGTTTATCATTTTGGTTATTACGTGTTCTGAAGCAACGATACTTCTTTGCTATTTCCACCTATGTGCCGAGGTATGTATTAGCAATATTCATTTATGTTAATTTGTAGACAGTATTTATAAATTTGGCATAAGGCCACTTTGAATACTATTAATTGAAATAAATTTTTGTAGATATGTGTTGTTAAGATAGAAATTGACCTGTACTCCTAAATCAAATGTAGCCCTCTTTAGGATTGAATTTAAGATAGTATCCCAGTTGGGGTTTTTCTGTTTTTTGGGGGGTTTTTGGTGGTTTTTGTTAAGTTGTAAGAATTCTTTATATATTCTGAATACTAGACCTTTGTCAGATAATGATTTGCAAATATATTCTTCCATTTTCTAGGTTGTCTTTTTATTTTCTGCATAACTCCTTTGCATAGTTTTTAATTGTGATGAAATCTGATTTATCAATTTTTCTTTTGCTATATCTAAGAATTCATTGCTAAATTTAAGGTTATGGAGATGTATCCTTATGTTTTCTTCTAAGTGTATAATTTTAGCTTGTATATTTAGGTCATTGATACATTTTGAGTTAATTTTTGTATATGGTATTAATGTGGAGTCTGACTGCATTCTTTTGCATGTGGATATCCAGTTTCCCCAGCACCATTTGTTGAAGAGACTATTCTTTCCTCATTGAGTGGTCTTGGCAACCTTATTTAAAATCTATTGGCCATCGATACATGGGTTTATTTCTGGATTCTCAGTTCTATTCCAGTGGTGTATATGCTATTCTTATGCCAGTACCACACTGTTTTGATTACCATAACTGTGTAGTAAGTTTTAGATCAGAAAGGTGAAGTCCTCGAACTTTGTTCTTTTTGAAGATTATTTTGGCTACTCATGGCCCCTTGCAATTTCATATGAATTTGAGGATCAGCTTTTCCATTCCTGCAACAACAAAAAAAAGGCCATTGGAATTTTGATAGGATTGCATTGACACTGTAGATCAATTTGGAGAATATTGCCATCTTAACGATATTAAGTTTTCCAATTCATGAACGTGGGATGTCTTACTTTTTTTTTTCTTTAATTTATTTTTTATTGTTAGTTTCAGGTGTACAGAACATTGCAATAGTTATGGGATATCTTTCCATTTATTTAAGTCCTCTTTAATTACTTTTAGCAATGTTTTGTAGTTTACAGTGTACAAGTCTTTCACCTCCTTGGTTAAATTTATTCCTAGGTATTTTGTTATTTTGGATGCTGTTATAAAAGGATTTTTTTTTATTTCATTTTTTGGATTGTTCATTGTTGGTGTATAAAAATACAATTTGATTTTTGTATCCTGCAATATTGCTGAATTTACTAGCTATAGTAGTTTTTGTGTGTGGATTCTTTTGGATTTTCTAATCTTGGTATTCTTTTTTAATATATTTATTTTTCACATATTCCAAATGATAGGAGAGATAGCGAAGTATTTATTTTACAAGATCTGCTAAACTATAAGTCACTTTATGTAAAAGAAGAGATGTTTTTAAAAATTACCTTGTCTAAATTATGTTAGTAATAACTGAAAATGGATTTCAGCCAGGCCTTAATAACCTTCTTCCTAATAGTAAGTTGACTAGACTATAAGATAGGTAATGTTAATTTTGAACTATGTAAGGAAGTTTTGTAAGTAAATAAAAAGTACATTGCTTTTCTTTGGGAAGCATACGTTTATTGGGTTGTTGGAAAGTCATGACACATATTTGCGACAGATGGCACTAGTTCATTTTTGGAACTACTAAGAGTAATTCACATCTATGTTATTGCTGTCATTCGACAGCTGACAGTTCTAGCTTCATTCTGAAAAAAAATTGAGCAATTTGATTTGAGTTTTGGAGATTTTGCAACAAGTTGAAGATGGAAGACCAAACTGCAATTTCGCCATATTTTATTGTTTTACTTCCATAAAGGGAAGAATGCGTGTCAGCTTGTGAAAAGTTGCATAAAGTTTACAGTGACAATGCTCTACAAGAACGTCAGTGCCAACAATGGTTCACAAAATTCCGTGCTGGTGATTTTGATCTCAATGATGTTCCTTGGTCAGGGAGGCCCACCGAGGTTGATGACAACAAAATAAAGGCATTGATCGGGCTGGCCAAGTGGCTCAGTTGGTTAAGAGCTCACTCAAGAGTTTAAGCTCTGAGCAACAGCAGTTCGATTCCCAGCCCGAGCTGAGCAGCTGCTGAGCTGCCAACAGGTGGCAGGATGGCTCAGCTTAAAAAAAAAAAAAAAAAAGAATAAAAAGTAAATGAAATAAAAATAAAGGCATTGATCGAGTCAAACCCACGTGACATGACACAGGAGATTGCAGGAACATTGAACATCCATCATTCAAGTATTCACGACCACCTGAAGAAGCTGGGATACGTAAGCAAGCTCAATATTTGGGTTCTGCATAAACTCAAAGAAGATCATTTGACGGCACTTATAAACATCTGCAATATGCTCATTAAACATGAGGAAAACGATTCTTTTTTGAAGCGATTGGTAACTGTTGATGAGAAGTGGATTGTTTACAACAATGTCGTGCGCAAATGGTCTTGGTCCCGACGTGATGATTCACCTCAAATGACATCGAAAGCAGACATTCATCAGAGGAAGATTATGCTCTCAGTGTGTTGGGATTTTAAAGGTGTTGTGTTTTTCAAGCTCCTACCAAGGAACCAAACAATTCGAATGTGTACTGTCGACAATTGGACAGTTTGAACGAATCTATCATCCAGAAACGTCCAGAGCTTGTTAATTGTCAAGGAGTTGTGTTGCATCGTGACAATGCAAAACCACACACAAGTTTGATCGCCCGTCAAAAATTATTGGAACTTGGGGCCAGCTGAGTGGCTCAGTTGGTTAAGAGCTCGCTCAAGAGTTTGAGCTCTGAGCAACAGTGGTTCGATTCCCGACCTGAGCTGAGCAGCCGCTGAGCTGCCAACAGGTGGCAGGATGGCTCAGCTTTAAAAAAAAAAAAAATTATTAGAACTTGGATGGGATGTGTTGCCACACCCACCATACTTGCCTGACCTTGCGCCGTCAGACTTCCACTTGTTTTGCTCTCTTCAAAACTCCTTGCATAGTATAACGTTCAATTCAGACGAGGCTGTAAATCAGCACCTTGTTCAGTTTTTCTCAAGTAAAGACAGGTCCTTCTATGAACGAGGAATTATGAAGCTCACTGAAAGATGGCAAAAGGTTATCAAACAAAACGGGCAATATATCATTGATTGGTCTTGGTTCTTTATATAAATAAATGGCCTTTGAAAAACATAGACAAAATACATCGTGACTTTTCTGACAACCCAGTAAAAATATAATGTTTCATTATTCATAAATTGTTTCAGATTTTTCCACACATTTTTAGCTAGTCTTTAAGTATCTCCACCAAAGATATGGGGTGCTTTTTAACACCTTTAGTGAGGAGGGAAATGGGCAAAGTTCAGTAGGAGAAAGAGACTGGGACTGATAGCAAAACTTAGGTTTCGGGGGCTTTTTCACTTAGCTATGGTTTGCTTTGTAACTTTATTCTGCTACATATTATATATTAATTGGAAAGTAATTCTTCTTTAATTTTCTCTTTCTACCTAGGATTATCATTGGCAATGGCGTTCATTCCTTACTAGTGGCTTTACTGCAGTTTATTTCTTAGTATATGCAATACACTACTTCTTTTCAAAACTGCAAATCACAGGAACCGCAAGTACAATTCTGTACTTTGGTTATACAATGATAATGGTTTTGATCTTCTTTCTTTTTACAGGTAAGAATTAAAATGATTATTTTTAATCAGTAAATTTTTATGCAAATTATTTATAAATGCTTTCCTTTTATAAAACCCATGAAGGCTTCTCCTACTCAGCACTCCTATATTTAGTCCTTAACACAACTGAGCATAGTTTGGGCCACACTGTGAAGTGAATATCAGTAAACCAAAGGTGAGAAAGCAGAACCTAAGGGAAGAAGACTAAACAGGGTCCATTATTGTGCTAAAAGTACAGGGTCACCTGGACCACTAGTACATCTCAAGGCTTACTCCTGTTAACCTCTTAATGGTACAGTCTTTCTTTTGCCTATTTCAAAAATCCTAAGTTTAGGAGTAAAGTAGAAAATGGGGAGGTGAAATCAAGATGAGATTGAGAATTAATGATATCAAGAAAAGATAATCATAGGACATCCCTTATTTTAGAAGCTTTAAACTACAAGTTAATGTATCCACTTTAAAATCCCAAGTACCTAATGGGATATAGTGTATATTGTATTCCTATTTATATATGTATATCTTCTCTGTTCATCTGGATAAAGTTTTCTGTATCTCAGAGCCCTGGTAAACATTTGTGGAATGACTTAGCTAAAAAAAAAAAAAAAAAAATTGTGGGACCTTTCTTTGTCACAAAAAGTGTACATCTAAAAAATGTTATCTAAGATTGTGTTGCATGCTCTGTGAGCAAATATAGGAGCCAAAAAGAAAAAACCTTTTTTAAAAAAGGCAGTTTCACAATTTAGTATATATCCTTTTGTAAAACAGAGTCTCTGAATTTATATTTAGTAAATCTAAGCATGGTATAGTTTAAAAGAGCACTACACTTGAACCCAGAAGAAAGGAAATTTGAGTTTTGGCCCTACTTAAGCCACGAGGCATCACACAGTTACTTAACCCCTTGGAGCCTCATTTTTGCCATCCAACCATATAGCATTCAGATTTCTTAGAATCTAGATAGATGAAGATACCTGAAAATAAGGCATATATTTTTTCATGAATCATCTTATTTACATAACCGTCTGTGGGCAGCTAGGGCATATAAAATTATCTCTGTATAATGTGATAAAGAAATGGGCTTGTAGATTTCAGTGCACTAGTCCAAAGATGATATACACAGCTCTTGACAGAGCTGCTCTGTCCTGTGGTACCACGACACTTTTCATTTTTAGGGGTGCCACGGGAGGGTTCATTGTTGTTATTATCCTAATTATATTACTTTTAAGTTAACACTTTCTAAAAACTTTGAGTTGTTTTGTTATGATTCTTTGAAAACTGATAATTTCCAATAAGTATACCTAGAAAATATCCCCATTTAATTATTCTGTGAATCTGATATTCTGTTTAAGCTATTCATATCATACCTTGAATTAATTTTAATAGCAGCTTTCCATTTTATGTTAAAGTATTCTTAAATAGGAAAGGAAAATCGTCATTCTTTTCATCTTTTAATTTCAGTCTTTTGCATGTAGCAAAAAGCTTAGGTAATCTTATAGTATAAAAAGTTCTTTCTATCAATTTCTGTAGGAAGTTTGATTTGAGGTGGTTGTGTATTTTTCAAAAAACCTCATGGATCTATGCTATATTCCTAGTAGGTAATAGTTAATAGTTTTGTGGCTTTTTAAAAGGAATCAGTCATTTTAAATCTGTATTTTTGTGTAAAATATAAAGCTTCTTTTGAAAAAGGATTTTTGTTTTTTCTTTTATAGGAACAATTGGCTTCTTTGCATGCTTTTGGTTTGTTACCAAAATATACAGTGTGGTGAAGGTTGACTGAAGAAGCCCAGTGTATCCAGTTAAAACAGAAATAAATTAAATTCTTCATCAACAAAGACCTGTTTTTGTGACTACCTTGAGTTTTATTAGACTTATTGGCCTAGTAATCCTTCAAAAACAACATAATGCTAAATACACCTTTTCCCAAACACTTTTCCCCACAAAATGTGTTTTCCACACTAAACATTTGTATTGTGATTTGATTAAGTATATATTCAGTTGTTCTCAGTGAAGAGCAAATTTAAATATTATGTGCATTTGTAAATATAATAGCTATAAAATTTTCAATACTTCTAATGGCAGTAATATAAGAGGCCATATTAAACAATACTGTTGATATGCAAGACAGTTCATTGTAAATAGGATTTTCTAAGTTCGATAGGTGGAAAGAATTATTTTTCTTTGAAGGAAATAACTTTTTATCATGGTAATTTTGAAGGATGATTCGTATGATGCGTTTATTGGGGAGGGACGTGGCTTTTAAAAAAAATCTTATATTGGTTGTAATTGTTCATACTTTCTTTTCTGTGTTGACTTCATTATTCCCATGGTATTGGCCTTTTAAACTATGTGCCTCTGAGTCTTTCAATTTATAAATTTGTTATCTTAATAAATACTGTAAAAATGTCTTCATTGCATCATTACCTGTTGTATATTCAAGGAGAATTTATAAATAATGGTGTTTTAAAATGAATTGTAGTATTTTACAGATTTTACTGATTTTTGTTAATGTAACACTTTCTGAGTTTTAATCTAAATGAAATTCCAGTGTCCTGGGCTTTATGATAGATCTAAAATTTTCACCATTAGGTAGTATTGGAAATTTTAGTCCTGCATATCTAGCCAAATGAATGGTGTAAGTCTAGTTAATTTAGGCCTTACTACATTGTTATTAAGGATTTTACGTTTTTGATCTGTTTTTCAAAGTACAACATTTTTTATTTTTAAAAATCAGTTTTTATGATTAGTGATGACTAGCAAGTCTTCCTCTTTATGATTACATTGCTTTAATTGGAATTTGATAAACAATTTTATTTCTTAGAGTTCAGAAATAACTTTCTCTTTCACATTCATCTGACTAACTGCAATTCACTGATGTGGAATATAGAAGTTTGGGGTGATTTCAGAAACATTAGCCTGCTTATATCTATGAGAATATTCATCTTGTATTTTATGGGCTCAGTGCTTGCTGCTTACAAAAGCAAATCAGATACTGTCATTAAACTTAGAACTAAAATTACTAGCTGTTGCTCATAGGATGTTGGTGGGATCTTAATATTTTATGTTGATTACCTTTTTTTAAAAAAAGAAAAACTTGGTTTTAAAGAGAGAAGAAGCTCTGGTTATTTTTAACTTCTCACATAGAAGATTTAAGATACAAAAGTTTCTTTCAAATTTATATATCTCTTAGAATATATTTAGTTTTTTATATATAATACTGTTAAGGTACCATTCAGATAGGCTGGTTGACTACAAAGAAAAGTTTTTATGAAAAACTCCAGACTCAGACACCAGGCTAATTTTGTTGGTCAAAATTAAGTTTCTTCAATTTTATTTCTCCTTCAGTGAACAATTGGCTTAGTGGTTAAAACAGTCTTCCTACAATTTTGATGTAACTTTTATTTTCTTCTTCTTTACACTTTGAAATAAACATATTTCATACTTAAGCAATGAAGAGGCAAAGACTTAGAAAGGAGGAAAGATGGAGAATATGAAAAGGAGGGCAAAACCAGTGGTGAGGAGGGTGGTGGAGGAAAAGGCTTCTTGACTCAGCTGCCATGGTTTGTTTAGGAAGCTGTCCAGGATGAAAGTACTGTGGTTATGGCATGTGGAGGTGGTTGGTTAGGACCTCAGGAGCCTTTTCCGTAGTTGGAGTATACCCCCAGGAAAAGGACAGTTGGGTTGCACTGTAATCTGAGCGCCATAACTGAGTTTCTCTGTGCCACTGGAAAATTATACCCCAGAATAAGGGCTGCTTCTGGGCTAGGTTTGTAGAAGTTCTGTTCTGATAAAACCAGAATTGTTTAGAAAACCAGTGAGCCTCAGCTGTTTCAAAAGGTTTTTTAAACCCTCATTAATAAAGATCTCTTCCTTCAGACTGTATCACACAGTTATTTACCAGGCGTCTGTCTCCCTCTACTAACATTAGGTAAGCTCTTTGGGGACAGGGGCTCTGACTTAACCCCTGTTGCCATGATGCTGTGAACACAGAAGGCAGTCCTATGTTTTCTGAATGTTTTTTTCTTTTTGTTTTGTCACTTCAGACTTTTATCTAGTTATGTCATTTTTTTCAGTGTTCCGACTCTTGGCTAATTTGATAATCTAAGCAATGTCAACATATAAAGTAGTCTTAATGCTATTTAACATTTGAAATTTAAGTTTTGTATGTAATCAGTGCTTTATAGGCAGAAGTGGCTGGAAAGAGTGTCATTTAGGTAATGAGACAGTTTGGGGCAAGTAGATGAATATAGACCTTTTTGTGTCTGTCCTAGCATATGAGGTACAAATCTTGTACATGGGAGTAGTCAGCCCAGAAGCTGCTGTGGTCAGAAACCGGCATCTGGTTCCTTTGATGTATTTGCTGTTTGACTTGAAAATTACTAATACCTTAAATCTGTGCTATCAGTACCTCTTACTTTCATATATACTGGCTGAAATTATGTGGTACCATGATTCACAAAAAGCTTTAAAAAGTATAAAGCATTACAGGTCTTAGTTAAAGATCTTTTTTAATTATTAACTTTACAATACTTTATAAAGGCCTGCTTTATGGTTTTTAATCAACAGAATAACATGTTAACAATGAATTCCTCACCTTTCTGTGGATAGCAAGACATTGTGTTAGGTCATTAATATGTAAATTTATATCATTAAATATATTTTCATATTTGTATTTTTCTCCAATACCCAGAATAGATGGTGGCCAAAACATCATGCCTACAATGAGATCTATATGTAGAAAATAATGCTTTGCTTTCTCAGATACTTTTACTTTGATAGAACCAAAACTGTTTCCTTCTACTGATTTGTTCTCTCCTTTAATGTGATTTGAAGTCTAAACACTAAAAGTCATTGTTCTGCACATTTCCTCCAGCTTTTAAAATTCTGTTGGATTTCTTCAGCCTGTTCATTTGAACTTCATATCTTCATTTTCTCATTTAATTATCTTTTCTCCCTTTCATTCTTTGACCTGATATATTTGACATTCTCAATAATGAATCATTTTGTAAAGAAGAAAACAGGATCCCCAAAAGATCCTATTTATTATTTCCTTTGGATGTTTTTAACGCAAAAAAAAAAAAAGTCTAGGCCACATAAATGGTATTGACCATGATAATAACCCTAATACATCACAGGTCATCAATTTCTCTGAAAAGGGTTAAAAATATGATAGATGTAAGTAAAAAATGATAGATTGCATTTGCTTTTTAAAAGCTAGTTTTTGTTTATACCTAAAATGACATTGTCTACATACAACTCAAATCTGATTTTCTTCTTAAATACAAGCTAATTTTTTTTTTTATTGGAGAATTGGGGGAGGGAACAGCGTTGAGGAATCAGGGAAGGGGAACAGACAAGTTGCTGTCCTTTTGTTCTTCAGTCTAGTTGTGGAGGACGTCACTTCACTGGCCCATGTTGGTATTGCGATCATTGTGCTCTTCCTGGGTGAGGCAGATCAGTCGCCAGCCATTTGGACGGCTGCTCATGGCGACTCATGGCAGCCCAGCTGCAGGTGAAGTTGTTCACCATCTTCGCTGTAGAGGATGCAGTGTCACTGGCCCACGTGGAATCCGAGCCGGCGGCCCTGCTGTTCAGAGCCCGCACTCCCAAACCAACTCTTAACCAATGAGCCACTCAGCCAGCCCTAAGCTAAACTTTTTTTTGGTTAATAGCAAAGAAAATCATAGGTGGGTGGGTCAGAGTGAACACAGCTCTTCTGGATAATGCTGCAGTCAGACAAGTTGTGTTGTAGCATGTTGACTGGGATTGTCTCACGTACAGCAGTAAACTTAAGGTGGTAGGGCCAGAGTTAGCCACACTGGTTTTCTGCTTTGGCAGTGCTAGGAGGGAGCTGGGGACTCAGGTCACCTTCTGGACTTCTACACCCCAGATGATACGACAAGAACTTTGCCAACCCCTTTGCAAAGGAGAAGGGACCTGATGAAAAACTGATGAAGCCTCATTGCTGAATATCACTACAGTCACCTTCGAAGTGCTTCTTTTGGGAAGCTATGCACCACCATCACTTAGTCCACCCTGCAAAGCAATTTTGGAACTCTTTCTGGAATGACCATCAAAGCTGTTGTATTACCCTTCACGTCTTGAATGTTATCAAAATGTCTTCCTTTCAATATTTTCTTTTTTAAAGATTTTTTGGGGGAGTTGGGGGAGGGGAAGGGGAACAGACAAGTGGCTGTTTTTTTTGTTCTTCAGTCTAGTTATGGAGGGCATCGCTTCACTTGCCCATGTTGGTATTATCACTGCACTCTTCCTGAGTGAGGCAGTCGCTCAAAGCAGCTCACGTCAGCTGCCAGCCACTTGACAGTAGTTCATGGCAGCCCACTGCAGCAGGGGCTGCAGTCTACACCATCGCTGGTGACTCACAGCAGCCCAGCTCCAGGTTGAGCTGTTGTTTACCATCTTAGCTGTAGAGGGCGCAGCGTCAGTTGCCACATGTGGGATCCAAACCCGGGGCCCTGCTGCTCAGAGCTGGCATCCCAAGCCAACTATTAACCAACGCGCCACTCAGCCAGCCCAGTATTTTCTTTATCTTCGGGTAAAGAAGTCATTGGGGGCCAGATCAGGTGAGTAGGGAAGGTGTTCCAATACAGTTATTTGTTTACTGGTTAAAAACTCAGGTAGTGCCATGTGAGTTGGTGCATTGTCGTGATGCAAGAGCCATGAATTGGTGAAAAGTTCAGATCAGCCTTTTCAGCACTTCCAAATAGTAAACCTGGTTAACGGTCCAGTTGTTAATAAATTCATAATGAGTAATCCTCTGATATCAAAAAAAGGTTAGCAACATCATTGCAACAAGTTCACCAACTTAATTGTCAGACCTCATCATTTTTGGTTCACGCTCAGGGCATAACAGTACTTTGCATGTAGCAGACAAATAGCTGTTGATTGAAACTAGGAATTTAGAGGATAAGTGATACCGATTTTAGATATTTAAATTGATATAATCATTTAAAGATAACCTTTTCGATATTTTGTTTAGCTCTCAGATTCCAGAATGTGCTACTTAGATTCCGAGAAATCACACATTTTAATGTGCATCCAGCAACATTGTCTTGTATACTTGTCCTATGTTCATTGACAGTTGTTCAAACAAATCAGCACTGGCAGAACTTGGCCAGCTCCTGTCTACACTTCGTTTGAACTGTTACCCATGGAACCAGCGCAAACATAAAGCTACAAAGAGGCTAATTGAAATCAGAATGTGGGTCATTTCTCGTTCAAACAAAACAGATGGCACTCCTTGCCACACTTCTGTCAAACTGGGGGGTGGGGGTGGGGGAGTGATTAAATGCATTTTTAACTCCCACACATGCTCACTTGTTCCTTAAAGGAATTATACACAGCTATTGAAATGCAGGGAGTGGAGGAGGGTGGGCTTTTTTTAAAT